TGGCTTCGGCTGCGCCAGCCATCTGCGCCCGATCCTGCCTCCGGTTTTCTTGACTCTATATTGACACTGGGCCCAACTGGGTGAGGAAAGAGAGGGAGTGCGGTAAATGCTGCGCAAGTCTTCTTTCACTTAAAACCAATCCACCTGCAAGTCACCATTCCTGCACCAACCTGTTTGGAGCATACCCTGGACATCATCGAAATCGATGTTCGCATCTCGAACAGTTACATACCTGGATGAAATGTTAAAAGTCGGTCATTCGGCAATGCAGCTACTGAGACACATTGGCGATGTCATGGACATGAATTAATGTATTACCCAAGAGATCCCCACTACAACCTGATATTCATAGCGAGCGCAGGCTGGTCCCGAAAATGCTTACGTTTCTGGGCATTGGGTCCCCATAGCCTGCAAAAACTACACTGATTTTTGGGCAAGGATCAGTGGATGAACATTTTTCAGTACTAGAGTGATTGCAGCGTGGAACGACCTTTCCGAAGAGGTTGTCCTCTCCACCTGTGTTAATTAATTTAAGAGCTAACTGGATATGCACTAAACACATCATTCCCTAGCCACCTGATAACCAATGGATAGGCATACACCTACATTACATTATACTACTCGTGATAAGCGAGTAGCCATGTTTTATTTTACTTTCGACTAACCAACAACTGCTGTGTTATCACCCTCAGGCATGCAATTGGCGTACTTTTTCAATTTTTATTTGTATCCATGTATTTCCTATCATATTTTACGAAAAGGGAGTTCAGAGGCGTTCACCTATCTTTCCCTCAATAAACTGATACTGATTTATGGTCTTGTGGCTGGAATATTATAGCTGCTGCAGTCCATTTAACCGACGTCGAGGTCAGGAACTGTACCTCTCCACCTCGAGGGAAAAAAACAGATTTCTGGCAGAGCGAATGCTGCAGACTACTTATTTCCTGCATCTTTAGGATGATCCAGGTGACAGGATACGCCCAGTGAGGTCATTGACGAAGTTGAAACGGAAGCAGATGAAGAAAAAGCTTGAGTCATGATTTTATCTAACCCAATTCCACTGGTTCGTATCTGGCATGTATTTCGCCTGATATTAGCGCACACAGCAGGCGCTCGTAGCCTTATTTTATCGTCACATTTCAGGGTCTCTAAAATTAAAATTGTTGTGTTTGATGCCGATTTCTCTAAATTAACTTGCGTGTTGTCCGAATCTCGCCCTGTAGACCTTCATCAAGATTGCAGACCTCTCCTATGGCAAAGAGAACGTGCCAGTACCCTGTGTGAACTGTGTGGACAATGAGACGCCCACCTACGTGGAGTACATTCCGCATCGCCAGCCTGTGGGCAATGTTCAAATTAACACAGACTCCGACTTCCTGGTGTGTTGCGACTGCACCGACAACTGCCGTGACCGCTCCAAATGTGCCTGCCAGCAACTGACCAGTAAGACATCCCGCCCCTATCTCTGCCGTCTTTTGGAGCTATTGAGTCTTTGTCTGTGCTATAGACGCGTTCGACGCGTCACGTTCACTCCCCCCCCATTCTTCCCTA